GATTTAAAAAGTAACGCAAAAGTAACGTAACGCATTACTTTCCATAAAAACTAACCAAGTAACGTAATTAGTTACTTTTTTATGGAGTAACGCAATATTGTAATGCATTACTTTTAAAAGTAACTTTCCCCAACACTGGTCAGGACGCTTAAACCACAATATTTTGATAGTGTCGCAGTGTAAACCACTTGCTTATGGCCATCTCTGCATATGCTACAGTAAAAGACAGTATTTCAAAATTGTAATTTAAAATTCTATACTTATATATATATATATATACACTGTAAAACAAATCTGTAATTCTTACAAAATAATTTTGGCAGCTGTGGTTGCCAGAATAATTTGGTAAAAAGATACAGAAAATCTGTAAACACATTTACAGCCAAAAACTGTAGATTTTACAGTATAAAACTGTAATTTACAAACAAGATCATTTGAATGTAAACCAGTAAATTCAACAACGCACACTGCTTTTAAATTATGTTTTGTACCTTTAACATACTGACAACCAGCATAATAATGCAGGTGGTTAAAGAGAAAGCCACATGAAGAATCAAAGTTCATCACAAGCAGCTTCGCTACAAGCTTAAGTATATACTAACATATAGAAGGTGCACAGAGTCATTCATGCAAACACTAAACACCATCATGGTGACACACATGACACTTAAATAATGCAATAAGCATTCATTAAACAACAGAAGGTGAAACATAAAGCCCAAATGTACATAACTGATAACAAAAACTATTCAAAAACATGATTATTTAAACAAAATACTTTCAAATGTGGCGTGTCTCGCAGGGAATTCTGGGAATATCAGTTTACAGTTTTTGACTGTAAATTATACATTGATTTGTTCTTTTTTACTTCTAAAAGCTGTGCAATTAACAGCATTTTACTGTAAAATTACATGAAATGTCTAGTTAGATCTTTTACCGTTTTTCCCTGTATATAGTACGAGAACTTACTGTTAACCTATTAACGTAGCGTTTTTACAAAATTTTACGGTTAAAATGACACTTATTTTTTACATATATATACACACACACACATACTGTACACACACATTTTTTAAGAAAAATAAAAAAGAATTTAGTAGATTTCTATTTCAAATAAATGCTGTTCTTTTGAACTTTTGATTTGTCTAAGAATTCTGAGAAAAAAAAAACTGTATTATTGTTTCTACAAACATATATTAAGCAGCATAACTGTTTTCAATATTGATAATAATAATAAATGTTTTTTGAGCAGCAAATCAGAGTGATTTCTGAAGATCACGTGACAC